GGCAGCTCCCAAGGGGGTTTCTGTGATCCAACCCGTCACATAAACAAGTTCAGGGGTTGTACTGGGACATAACATGAACATGAATGGAAACCAACGGGTAATTGAGGCACACTTCCAGGTACTTCCATTTCAATACCAAAAATCAAAATCAAAGTCTTCCATACAATTCTGTAAGTGACCCTATTTTTCACCCACTACTAGAAATAAATAAGGCATTGGCAACAAAAACACAGGTAAGTACTACCAAAAATTGAAAGCTAAAAATAAGGAAAGGTCTAAAACAGAAAGGATATTTCAACCTTAACTATGAAGAACATTTGGGAGAGGAAAACAGAAGTAAACCTTTTCAAGCAGAATCGAAACGCACTGGACAAAGTGAAGTGTTTTGGAGGCAAATTGTCAAGAAAAAAGGTTAAATATCCATAATAAAAAAGGAAATGCTCCTCAAATAGGTACTGCTTGGTATGTACAGCCTCTAATGGAGACATTAAAGATTGGGATATGAATAATTATAATAGTTCTCAGATGCACATAAAAGTGACCACCATTCTAACCCTGGTGTTGAGGCAGGCTGCCTCCCAATCTCATTCAAGGCATTACAGAGTAACCTTCAGGTTTGGGTTTTGAAACACAAGAAACCCAGAAGTGAGGGATGGGCCCTCTTCGCAAGATAGTACTGACTTTAGTATGAGACTGTGAGGTCTGGTGGCATGAGAATACCCTGAACTAGGCACAGCTAGCCAGCAATTAGAATACAATCTACCAGAACCTGCTCATTGAAAATATTTGTTACCAAGACTGACTGACCACCAAATTGAGGGAAAGAGGAAAGATCCATTCCAAACATACGGCCTGACTAGTGGTGGTGGGAGGGGGAAGGAGGGAGGTTTGCAGGTGGATGAGGAAGTAGACCGAAAACAAAACAAAATTTAGACTGAGGGGATTTGGTGGGTTCAGTGTTTTCCCCAGGAATTGAAATGGGGGTAGTGGTGGTCTAATTTATGAGGGGGGTGTCAGGGCCAATGAGGGGTGAGACTGAGGGTTAAGGTGGGCTGTATAGCACCATATTAAAAACTGAAAAAATGTTTCATGACCATTTTATTAGATTTAACTCATGTTTTTAAAATCATCACACAAATTAAAGTTGGCTACTCAAGCCTTTTATGAAGCACTATATCTACATCCTTCTTGGTTTCTTGTTATAATTTTGCACAACTCGGTTAATGAACTTCTTGAATGCAATGCGTTCATCTTTGGTGGCTTCTCATGTGTCCCGTACTTCCATTCCTTCAATCGATATGCTCATTAGTTCATTCACATGATCAGGCAGAAAGCGACTTCTTTCAGAACACAAAATTCTATTCAATGATGAAAAAGAACGCTCAACTGTAGCTGTTGTGACTGGGAGTACAAGAGATGAATTCCTACTTCTTTCATCCCAAGAAACAGCATAAAGATCGGGTTGAGCCACTAGTGATGATAAAAAAGAAGTTGAAGTCTAATCTTCATTCATTCATTGTATGATATTCCACTCTATGTTCAAATTCTCTATTCTGTCCTGAGTACATGGCAGCCCCATTGCTGGTAGTGTCTCACTCCACTCAACTGTCGGTGTTTTATAGGACACGAATCTGTAAAAGCTACATAGAGGTTGAGTAGAATCTAGAAGTCACTGTTGTAGATTTTTAAGAATAAAGTTTGTGTACTTTTTCAGTTGTCTTAAACACTTCTTGTCCTCTTCACTTAAGGATTCAATATAAATGCCTTCATTAATCAACTTCTGAAGTCTTTGCTTCTTCCAGTACTTTTTCAATGGATAGCTCACTGATTGATCCAAATGTAGCTTCTATTGCTGGACAAAGATCTACTACTGTTGTAGAAGATGCCTGGATGGCATTGTTTAATGATCCAAGTGGTTTCAACAGTAGACTTACAAGAAAGAAAATGGCAATAGTCTTCTCTGAACATAGTAGCAAAAGTAATCCATGAGCCTCACTACTTAGATCCATCCCATCTTGGTAGATACTTTCCAAAGCCAGAAACAACGTCTGGAGTAATTTTAAGACAACACCCAAAGATCGCTCATGAGAAAGCCAGAGGGTTTTCCCAGGTTGGACTAATTTGAACTTCAGTCCCAGTGTATCTTCTATATTTTCCAAGATATTCAGTCTTGTTGGACTCTTGCTGAAAACATAATATAATGAAGACATTAAATGTATAGCTTTTTAATGTACTAGCTGCAGCTTGTACTAGCACTAGTTGGAGTAGATGGCCTCTGCAGTGTGTATAGGAGAGATTAGGGATACACTTTTATCTGAGCAAAGCTTATACTGAACCACGTCTTCCAGAGAAATTTGCAGCTCCATCAAATGCACAAGCAGCCATCTGTTTGGGGTTGTTGAGTCTGAACTTTTGATGAGCTTAAACTTAACCCAGACTTGATGTCTCTGTCTGAACTTGTAATCAAAGCTCTGACCTGCGATCTACTCATGACACCCCCCTCCCCTTAAGTAG